ATTGTGGTATCCGTGGTGTAGTTGTGTAAATAAAACATGATTGCGGTAGTTGTGATTTGTGGTTGCATTCGGATTTGATAAAGAAGTGAAAAAAATTCAGAACGCGAAATTAACCGTTAGGCAGACAGCTTACACAAAGCTGACTTAATTTTGGCAGGTGGGGGCCAATCATTTTTGGAAATGTAAAGGAAAAGTAGCTTATCGGTGAGCTATATTGTTTGAATCACTGTGCGATTTATACTGATCATTATGAAAGAACTTCTTAGAAGTAATTAAGTGTTGGCAAGCATTCAAATTCAATCATTTTAAGTTGAGATCCCCATCTTTATTTATATTCTATGACCCTGTGTAACAGCTTTAAACTTCTTTATTTACTATGACTTATTGCTACAAGTAGTTGAAAATAAACAATAAAGCTTAAGTGAAACAGTAACTACTTAATTGCATACACTAATTTCTGTACACTTCTTACTCTAATGCAAAACAGAATTTTCAACCTTATCATCACTGTAAAGTAACTTTATACATTAGTAATAACATAGGTTGTATTGTTTTATCTTATGTTTGTCAGCTAAAACCCCTTAAACTTGACGTTTGACTACAACCAAAGTCCCTTGCCAGTGATAAAGCATAACCTTAATAAAACTTTGTACGTATTTTAATACTTAACATGTAAAAACTAATGCTACGGAGGTGATTGTGCTTGTTGTGCCCTACCAATACATATAAGTTCTAGAACACGTGTTTCAAAGCTTACCTTAAGTGCCTCTTTAAGTTTCTTTGAATGTAAATACTGAACTATGTACACAGACACGACTGGGTTGCACTAATGAATGCAAAATATCTAACACTGTCCAATCACTGTGAGCGATTTTACTTTATATGTACAAGGAATGTGGTATTTGCTAGGACTAGTTTTTTTTTTTATTTTTTATTTATTTTTTTTTTTTTACAGGATGCCACATTCTTTTTCTTTTTTTTACAGGATGCCGCCTTTCATCGAGCGTCAACACCATACATACATTCTTAATTTTATACATTAACAATTTCATACATTAACAAAACAAACGTACCTTGACATTTGACAGGTTTCAGCTTTACCGCTCAATTTTAGCAGACAGCAAGTGAATCATTACTGCTGAAGCCCATTGCAACATATGCATAGTTCCTGGAGGCTTTCATATTAATGCGTTCATCTAAAATGATCCAAACTAAAGTACACTTACCTATGTAATAAAAGAAAAACGTTTACCCTACCACTAAAATTAATAACATAAAAATGTCTAAAAAAGCATATGAAAAAAAAATTGATTTAACTTATTTATGTTGCGTACTAAACCTAAGGATGTGCGATGTTCGCTGGAAACAAGAACATCCTTTCTCAACTAATGCTATCTATTTCAGATTTAACACTCTGGATGCTTCCAACGTAATTATAAACATTTGAATATGAATCTTAAAGCTTTTTTGTCAACATCGCAATCAATAAACTTATATTTTACCAGTCATTTAGCATCAACATTAGCTCGTAAACTAATACACAATACTTGTTCAATGCCACATATTCAATGGACACTGTCATTTAACAAGGAGTCGCCTTGATTACTATCAAACAACTTTATCATATTACTCATACTTTATGTACAATGAAAAAATCCCAATTATCAATTAAACATCATTACTTTGTTAACCGTTTTCTAAGGGATCATTCGGAATAGAAGAGCTGAGTAACAACTGGCCCAAGGCTCAAATATGGCGGACCCTACATGAAAGGAAGACCGCTTAATCCTGTAAAGGTCTCTCCGCCTCCCACACGCCTCCCCACGCGTCTGGTCGAATGGAGCCTAGATTAATTTACTGTGGCTCTGCAGGAACGACGGGTGGGGAGGCGTGTGAGGGCTAAGACTGCATGCACCGCTGACTGAACAAAGATCAAAATACAGCGTTTTGGTATAAACAAAAAGTTACAGGTACATAAATTATACAGCAATAAATGAAACATATTTCAGCTTCTTTACACAAAACATGACATTATAAAACAAGTTCCCTTTTCAATTCAATCAACCATCAAGAATCAGGAACTCAATTATTTCTTTTTTCAGTCAAAACACGTATTGTAAATATCATTTACAAAAATATAAATATTGTCCTGACCAAACATTACACATTCGTGAATAAAAAGTTCACCATAAAACATGTGACATTTGCACACAAGGGTGAAAAGGCATATTGATGCAGCACACTAGTAAACATATGACATTTGCACACAAGCAGGAAAACACATGTTGATGCAGCACACTAGTAAACATATGACATTTGCACTCAAGCAGGAAAACACATGTTGATGCAGCACACTAGTAAACATATGACATTTGCACTCAAGCAGGAAAAGACCTGTTGATGCAGCACACTAGTAAACATGTGGTATTTGTACGCAAGCAGGAAAACACATGTTGATGCAAGACACTAGTAAACATATAATTTTTGCACACAAGCAGGGAAAGACATGTTGATCAAGCAATTGCTAATAATATCAATTTATGTATCTTAAGGGTAAAATATTTTCATAAAAACAATATCACAAGCACATGTTTTGCACAGTTTAACTTATTGTGACACTAACTGAAACAATAACATAACTAAATGCAACGAATCACAATCCTTAAGCTACACATTCAATACTAATATGATATACAGTACAATACCTCCCTGAGCAAGCATTACAGATTATTAGGCCATACCTGTTTTCATGGATGACATCCTGCACGCGCACCGATTTTCGTCCGTTTTCCGCCAAAAAATCACTCCCGACGATGTCGATGGTCGCAAACATAGTTATTGAATTTGCCGGAAAATGAGCTTTCCTGCACATGCGTAATATCGCCACGTGGAAATATGGTCACGTCTAGGATAACTTTTAAATTACACGACAATTGAAGTCATAAAGAGAACGGGGGCCTTCGTTTTGAATTGGTATGCCATTGATATTGAGCATGGAGATATCACATTTATGCAATTATACGAATTGCTAGCGGCGGCCAGTGATTATCGCCTGGAAAATTTCAGTGACATTCTGTCCAAAGCAGCACGTACCAGTTTTTTTATAGCAAAAAAGGGCCCACAAGGGCGTCGACGTATTTGGTGGGCTGAAGGTCGGACAGGCCACCCTACAGTTTGGCTGTTTCGTGTGAGTCAAAGTAGACAAAATGGCATCGACCAAAATGGCCTTTAAACGACTTGGTAGTATTAAGCATATCTTTGCATTATTTAAAAACATTTCTTCATAATGCTTATTCATAATGTTCTAATGCTTTAATATTCTGAGAGTACAAATAAAGACACTCTGTTTGTTTGATATTTGTTAAATTGATTGTTATACCAACGAAATGCATAAAATAACCTTAAATAGATTTGGTAATGTGCAGCATATCTATTTATGATTTTTTTATCTTTCTACGAAGTATTCACAATGCTTTAATCTTTTGAGAGCATGTCTAAACACATATTGTTAGTTTGATACGTGTTTCTGTGGTAAAATTGTGTGTCCAGCTGTGTACTGACAGCATTCTTTTACTTAAGCAGTATTTTTGGACTTTTTTTTCGCACTCTCGCACCGATTTCGGAGTCCACAGAGAATGTCATCCATAAATATTAAAAGTGTGGCCTTATGTATATCACAAGTAACTCTATAAAAATCATAAATAAAACATTAAAAATGTAAAATTCAATTTCCTGAGCAAATATATCACAATATGGACATAAAAGCACATGAAAAAATTCAACATGTGCACTGGCAGAAATAAATAATGTAATTTAAATATGTATCACATATAGGTATGCAGTAAAATAGTTATCACCAATTATAAAAAAGCACCAATTGTTTTTAAGGGACCATTCAGATCAAGAAGAGCCGAGTGCTAGCATGGCCGCGAACTAAATATGGTGGACCTACATAAAAGAAAACCGCTCAATCCTGTAATGGTCTCTCCGCCTCTAAAAGACCTCCACACGCGTCGTCCCTCGAGTCGAGATTTGATGCAGGGACAACGCGTGGGGAGGCGTGTGAGAGGCGGAGAACCCTTTACAGGATTAAGTAGATTTTTTTTTTCATTTAGGTCCGCCATATTTAGATGGCGGCCTTGCTAGCCCTCGGCTCTTCTCGATCTGAACGGTCCCTAATATTCTAACATTATTTTTTTACCCTTTTCTTTGTTTTGGCACATCGGTCCTCTCCAGATCATTGAGAATAAAACCGTACATGTAATGACACCTATGACAACACGCAGCAGGTACATTCTGACTTCACATACACTGCAAGTGTAGGCCGTGTCAACACACTGTAAGTGTACAACACAGGCAGATCTTTTTCTGTCAGTGAAAATTGCTGGTGCGTGTTCTAAGACCCGTTTTAGACGAACACAATATGGCAAGTTAACGAGAGCATTTTTTTTTCTCGGGGGCTGCACTCCCTTTCAATCTCTTTCATTCAGAGAAGTGTGGAGTCTTTCATTTTGATTTTTTGTACAGTTAACTTTTTGTATAAAATATATGAATTCACCCATGAAATATCAAACGAAAAACAAAACATCCTAAGAGATAATACCACCCCCGCATCAATCGCTGTATGTCCCTTTTCAAAAAAGGTTAAGCCACTTTCATAATAACGTCGTGGGTAACTCCATTTTCAGAAGTTACCTTATCTGTATAAACTTTCATATTCAAAGTGTACCCTGATATCGATTCACTGAGCATTAAAACATTTAAATTCCAGCGTATAGGTTTATCATTCATTAACTGCTTGAAATAAACGGTTTTCGGTGGGGTGAACTGTACAAGATGTTGCAAAGGTATCGTGTGTAACAACATATTGTCCAGATTAATTGAGTCAAAAGATTTCAAATAGTCAGTATATACACACGTAAGTCCATGGTTAAAGTGACAATTCCAATTGTATTTTGCTTCTTATCCACCTTACCGTGCTAGGGACGCTACCCAACAGTCTAACTTAATATCGACCTAACAACGCCCTTAATGACTACTCTACAAATGGGGCAATTCCTCAAGGCAGGTGCACACTGGACACAGGCGACAAGATGGCCACACGGCAGAAATACCACGCCAACTTCTTCAACCATACAGATCTTACAGGTGAGCTCTTCTTTCAGTCGACTGTTCTTGGTATCTGGAGGAAATTAGTGCAACTTTTTTGCAAAACCGTTGTTATAAACTTCATTGTTTACTGAACCTTTATGGAGATGAAAATTAACTTATAGTAATGTTGTGAAAACAACATTCGTAATTAATATTCATGTCCCTAAGCGGTTACCTTGATGAACCACAGACGTTGACATTCATCTCTGAAAGCAATTTGCTTTTTGATGTAAATGGATTGTTTATATATTGAATTCAAGTAAGACTAATTAGATATACCTGAAATGCATTTGTCAACTTTGCTAATTCTGTCAAGAACACAGAATAACAATAAAATATGATTGGAATATATGCATTGGGGAAACCAGATGGCTTATTGGCGTTGTTTCTGTCTATCTAAGAAGTTGAGTGCTGCATCAAAACTTAAGAAATCTAGCTAGCAAGGCATATGGACCGAGGAAAAGGATAGTTATGTTTGTTTGTCAGGAACCCATGGATCACTTACCTTGTGGTCTTTGTGCTTGTGCCTGTGCTTGGGCACGGGGAGGCTAAATTGAACAAATCAATATCAAATCAATATGAAAAGCATAACCAATATTTATGACACTAGTAGACATGGTGTGCAGATAAACAGATAAACACTCAAATAGCAATATATTTTTTTCGTTCTTTAAGTACAGCTTGTTTTAATGCGGATTATTAAATGTATCTTGATTAACTATTTGCGTTTTATTAAAATGGGGATCGAATATCACTTACAGCTACACGTTACAGCAATAACTTAAACGCCACCTAGCCTTCACTGCTATTTAAATCTTCATCACATTAAATGGTGTGATTAAATATATGCTTACCGGGTTGTTTGGCGAGTTCTGTTTCCTGATCATTCGGATAAACTCATCCCCCTTGCACAGTCGAACAAAGCCACAACGTGGGAACCAACGCGCATGCTCAGCCCAGAGGTCGTCTTGAGGTGCCCAATTCCTCAGCCCTCCATTACAGAAGAAGCATTTCACGTTGTCACCAAAGCCTGTTAGTTACGAATAAATAAATAAAAAAATACATAAATAGGAACGTTGTAACCGTATAGTGAATGGACCCTGTTACTCCTCTAATCAATATTAGAAAACGTTCATCATTTCACTTTCTTTACAGTGTGACTTTGCTTTATAATGTATAGATTTCTGGTGTGCTTTAAATATTAACGTTATAGCTTATGGCACATGTATTACATTGATAGGTGGTTCAGTTTCCTGTATAATTGTATTAACTAATCTAATGAACATATCCAGTCAAAAAAGTGGAGTTACCGACGTAAAAGAACCCGGCCCTGGCGAGTTCTTCAGGACGCTGAATACGAGATGGCAGCCAGTTGGCAAAGGTCCGAACTCTGACGTCTTCAATGGCGTGTATCCCGTGTCTGGGTCTTTCTGTTAATATTCCCAGAGTTTCTGCAGTTGTGACACCTATAGGGCGGGAAGATGGAGGCACGTATCGCACACTGATGCCCAGTGACCTGGATAGTGCCTGTTGACTTGACGGTAGTGAGGACACATTGCCACCGTGGTCACGTGGTGTAGACGTGGGGTTAGCTAAGTTTGGGAAAGGATCAACATTGTCACATATGTTGAAATTAAAAACAGGGTCATCTCTGGGGAAAAGGGGAACATTCTCTGTGTCAGTCCCATTCATAAGTGGACACTCGGGGAAGAAATTACGATGTTCCACGGCAGGGTCATGACCACAAGCCCTCCTCCTCAGCCGCCAGCCACAGCTAAAGCAAACGACTTCATCTCCTTCTGCAGAATAGTAAAACCCAGCCCGAGCAAGGCGCGTGGCAGGCACAGAGACCAAACTAGGCATACTTTGAAAGGTCGATAACCTAACAGCTTCAGAATGATATTCTTCTCCCGTTTGGAAAGGTGGATTATCTGCCTGTAGATCGACGTAGTCATCGGAAGGTACTGCAAACACATTGATGCTAATGCTATCTGGGTTGCACATAGCGCCATCGATTTTTCTTACGGTGCTTTTACCTCCAGAAACATTTTTTGTTAATTTGCAGAAGAACTCCCTCACCAGGTCACAGATGAGCAATTGGAGAGCTGGTGAATTACATGTCATTCGGAGTTTGCATATCAGATTGCAGTTTTTAACCTGTGACTGATTGGTAAAAAATCGTAACACGACATCATGCAAGAGACCACTTTGAGATGCACACTTATCTGCAGCAATACCCAGTGGATTCTTCATCAGAAAATAAGAGCATTCTTCTCTTTGAGGTACCAAAGTTACTGCTTTGTCATGAACACTGAAGGTGTTATTTTCGTCAGATTGTAGTAAACTCGGTGGATCTTCACGGACTGAAACATGCTGCATGTCACTGTGGACGCCTGAAGCAAAACACGGGAAGAACGTGTGAGAATATATATATATATATATATATATATATATATATATATATATATATATATATAGATATAGATAGATAGATAGATAGATAGATGCACAGAATGCGCATCAACAACGTACATCATTGGTCAATATGGTTGCCCCATCCCCAGTTTCATGTTCTTTTATTTACAAATGATCGCATCAATAGTGTAAATTTTATGAATAGTGAATTATTTACCAGATATTATAACTAACATGATAAACGATACAGAAAATAATAAACAGCCGTAAAGATACCCATATTTAATGTTGTTTATTCATATTTATAACATGTGCCCTGTCAAATCTGATGTTTTACTGTGATTTCCAGAGTAGTTAAGAAATAGGCATAACATTGAAAAGACACACAAAATATCACCAAATTCACACACAATTAGCATTAGATAGTGCTCATTGAAGGTCAGGTGTTTAATAGCTCGTGTCTCCTGCGTACTGCAATTATTCCTGCAGTCGGTGCGACATACCTTCATATGTGCGGCGTGCCAATACTGTTGGAGAAAAATTGACCCATTTTTAAACTCCTTTGCACTTTATACACTCAAATTCATGCCACAGGTGCTCAGTAGGGTTAATATCGGGGGAATCCTCAGAACATTGTTTCTGCGACAAATCAGTCAAAAGTCGAGAACTGTGATGAAGTGCTCCTTTATGATTCCTGGAGTTCACCTCAAAATGTTACAGTGTATCGCCACAACAACTATTCGTTCCAGGAGGAACAATGTACTAACACCATGGGCTTGAAATGCTTTCTTAACGCGGGCTAATCTGACGCATCAGGCCATATTACATACACTGTAAAAACAGTGTTTAGCATTTAAATACATACAACACACGTTAGGCACCTATTACGCATTTAGAAATATGTGTAAAAGCTAAGCACGTATAGCTTTTCAAGCGTTTCACAAGAAGTAAAAGCTAGACACGTTGGCAGTGTTACACGTTTAGCTATGTGTTTAGCTTCACCGGCATATGATTCTATAACAAGTCTATCACAAGCTAAGCACATTGGCTAAGCACTTCCCCTGGTAATCTCATGAGGCTGCTTAACATATGGAGCTGCTAAAGGGGCGGAATTCCTAAACGCGTGGAGCTGCTGAACAACACGTTTAGCTTTTCAAGCTTGTCACAGAAAAAAAAAATCTTCACAATCCCATGTATACGATCCCATAACAAGTTTTTTACAAGACTCAAACAGTTTGGCTGAACACTTCCCCTTGTAAACGTATGGAGCTGAGGAAGCGTGGAGCAGCCTGATCGAACGCGTTGTGTCCTTCCTTGCAGTAACGTGTGATAATTCAAAATAGGCTTATTACTTAATAATCCAAGTAACAAGTTCACGACGTTATTAGCTGGTTACATGTCACCTTGAACTTTTTAAAAAATCCAAGATGGCCGCCATATGGCATAGGAATACTAGAACATATACAAGGTTTTTCAACTATGCCAACCAGGAAGATGCACTGTCCACTATCTTAATAATTTTGTTTCTGAGTGCCTTATTACAGAAATAATATATTTGTTGTGAGTAATTAACATTTATTCTCAGGCATTTAGAGAAAAATCCAAGATGACCGCCATATCAAAGGAACACTATAGCATACACATAGGGCTTCTTCTGCCATGGAGATATAATATTGATAAATAAGGTTTGTTTCTGAGTATTTTCCACTTCTTTTTAATCCACATAATATATATGTGATGAGAATGTTATGTGTATACTTTTTGAAAACAAAACAAAACAAAACAAACTGGCAGCCATTAGCCATAGAAGGCGGGGTTCAGTTAATACCTGAGAGAGAAAGGCTTCCATATAAAAGGAAGCTAATTTCAGTTGTTTTTCTTTTATTATAACTAGAGGATCAGAGAGGCGATACCGCCTCCGAATATTGTACCACCAGCTGGAGCAAGCGCATTCGTATAGACCCCCACATACACAAAATAAGGGACACAGCCACCAGTTTTGTGCTTGACAAGCTGTAAAAATGCAATCAACTAGAATTTTTAAACTATTGCAAAAAATATATATGGTACAACCAAATTTAAGTTCTTTGTAAGATAGGTCAAGGGTCAATTTCAAGGTCACAGTAAATTGCCAGTATATAACTTCCTATTCAAGTTCAAGAGTAACTATGGACCTATCTCTGTCAAGTTTGAAGTTAAAAGAGAAAGAAATTAGCAGAGTTCACTTCATGATAAAAAGTAGGTCAAAGGTCAATTT